GTCACATATTGTTTAAAGCCAACATAATCGGGCAATCAGATATTTCCCATTCCAGTAACACTAAAGGCCAACGTAATCAACGTTCGACGAGTTTAGTACACCATTTCAATCAACTCTTTTTGATGAACAACCTCATCTTTCATTGAAAAACACATGCGATTGTCCTCAAGAATGGAGGATCGACACTTCCTAGTCATTTGAGGACCATGATGAGCCAGAACCTAGGAGTCAACGTAACCAAGTTCGATGTTGTACAGACACCAGGACCAAGCCTTCTCGAATCTTGATCGAGTGTCCGCCGTCGAATAAACAACCCTTCCCTTTGAGTTACTTTGACAACATGCCTAGTAGTAGGGTTCCCTGTAGTTACGACTGGCGAGGAACGTATAATACTTTATACCACAACTTGATCCAGATAGTCCTGAACTTCCACTAAAACCGAGACGTGAAGGCTAACCAAGATAAGACTAGTAAGGGACCCTGTACATAGGATTCTCCCTGAAGCTTGCCTTACATCAACAACGGTAGGAAAAAAGGCAACCCTATAGCCCAATTCTTAGAAAAAGGCTACAAATTTCCTCTTCATGTAAATTTCTATTTGGGATAAGTCATCAAGTTCATAGACTTAAAACCTGTTCTGGCTGGGCCCCAACTTGACCGGGCAGGCCCATCCCAATGATACTCTGTTAGGCCCAATCCAACTTGGGCTACATCCGTCAAGCACATGGTCCCCGCCGGGAAGACAATAGTCCCTCCGCGGGCAGAACCTCCTCCCTTGTCGAGCAGAACAACATGTCCTTCACACGTTCTCCACGTGCTCCCTTCCGCCGGTACACGTCACCAACCAACTGCCCACCTCAGAAAGAACATGTCAAATCCACTTTCCGGAGATCACAGATCAGTTGAACTAGGGCGAAAACCACGTTCTGGTTTTCACTACGCCACGTAAGCCCGAGCAGTCACTTGGGTTAGGCTTGACCATCTAGCCCAACTCAAATGACCGTTGGCCCTACACTGGAGTTTCTATATAAATACCCTCTTTCACAAGTGGGTCATGTATTCTCTTCTTACACCTTTTCTGTATTTGCCGTCACTCTGTCCAATCTCAAATTTTGGCATCGGAGTGTCTTGCAGGTACACCCCCATCTCCTTTTCAACACCGGTGAATAGGCAGCAGATCAACGGCGTGTGGCAAGTCCTTGATCCTCCGCCGTGGCTGCCAGAGCAGCCGGCGGAGCCCTAGCCGGAGTCCCAAGGTTGAAGAAGATAAGACTTCTTGACCAACAAGTCCTGGTCGTTGGATCATTGATGTTGAATGGTTGAGATTGAATCTCAATTATAAATGAAACGCACCGTTTCATTTTTGGTTTTTTTTAATTTTTCTTTCAAAATTTCTTTTCGTTGATTATTTAACATATGTCTCAAAAACACAATTAACAGTACCCATATATAGATCCTTCCCGCGTACAAATTATTCTTTTACCATTTTTAATACTATTTACATACATCCAAATAATTTTGTAAAATTTTGTAGATTCGATACTAGTGAAAAAAATCATTTAAATTTCAATTAATAAAATGTATTGGAATTAATTAGCTCACTTTATTACAAAATTGAATTATAGTAGAAAAGTTATCGAAATCACGTACTCACAATATTTATAACCATTAAGATTACTAAAATTAAATAATTTAAGATTTTACCATTTTTAATATTATTTACATACATCCAAATAATTTTGTAAAATTTTATAGACTCGGTACTAGTGAAAAAAAAATCATTTAAATTTCAATTAATAAAATGTATTGGAATTAATTAGCTCACTTTATTACAAAATTGAATTAATAGTAGAAAAGTTATCGAAATCACGTACTCACAATATTTATAACCATTAAGATTACTAAAATTAAATAATTTAAGATAAACTACTATGTATCACACTATTTCATAATTGATACGCTTTTCCTTTTTCCGCTTACTTTCAACGCAAACAAACGACCGTCGATCCATCCATCTCACAAATAATCTAAACCGTTCATTTGAATCCAAAAGCACGGGAAAATCCAAAACGTTGTATTAAAAAAGAAAAAGCACAGAAATGAAACCAACACGAACGCATTGAGAGAGAGAGAGAAAGAAATCATCAAGAAAAAAAACACAGAGAGCATTCCGAAGAAATGACACCAAAATGAATCGAATAACATCATTTTGTATCCTATGTGGGCTGAAAGGCAGACACTGTTGGAGGAGATATCCAATGATCCATATATTCAAAGATTGATAACCGAAGTACGCGAAAGAAAAGAGAAAAGAGAAAGAAAAGAAGAATAGAGAAGAGAAAAGAGAAAAATTAAATCAAATATCTATAACGATATTTTTTATTTCTAACGGTGAGAGACACGTCCTATAGGATAAATAAACAATTTCTTTGTTTTTTCCCATATTACTCAATAATTTCTTGGTTTTTTCTCATATTTTAATTACTCTTGTTAACTACATCATCGTATGAGTGTACTTTTTCGCTTTTTTGCAATTTTTATGTATAAAATATAAGCATGCAAATTTTGACGGGTTTATTCATTTCTTCATCTACACATGATATTCTCGTGTCGAAGAAAATCATACTTTCTTGATCTACCCCCGTTGTGGTAGGAAGAGGTGAGGTCATCTAAAGGACAGTAAAACCATACGGTTTTAATTTCCTTAGGAAGAGGTGAGGTCATCTAAACGACAGTAAAACCCTACGGTTTTAATTTCCTTATGTGCCAAGTCTAAAAGATGGTAATTTCGCGTGGTTCTTCATTCTTATATTTCTCATATCAGGCTCGAGTCACAAGTTCATCAAAAAGTGTAGAGAAAAGAATTCATCAGCATTAACACCAACATTGAAAGCACGTGAAATAAAAAAAAATATGAAGTGTTTTGCTAGTTTGTGCATTTATAACAAAAGTTAAACATATCCAAACATTCAGTATGTTTCCACAGTAGCAACAAACCTGTTGCAAGTCATGTAACAATTTTGTAGCAACAATTTTGTAGCAGTAGGCATGTCATAAACTGACTTCATTATCCCATCACCAAGTAAAGCTGCCGCCTCTTTAACATTTGGAGTAACAATATCAGTCATGGAAAGCAGCTCCTCACTGCATTCGGAAACAAAGAAATAAACACAATCAATACTCTACAGTTTTATTAACAGACTAGAACTTCTACACATAGCCCTATCACTTCTCATCCTAATCAACTTTCATTAACCCTCTAAATGTGCATCCTATGCAAACCAGGACCAAGAATGGTATTACTCTTTCTAAACGAAATCCCACACTTCTTTCGAACAGAGAATAATATTTGAATCATGCTCTAAAATAATAGGAAAATAAAAGACAGATAAAATACATAAACAATAATGGAGTGCGAAAAAAATAAAACCATGCAAATAAAAAGAAAACTAAACATACCTTTCTCTTCGTTTTTGCGCGTATAGCTTTCACGTGATCAGTTGAGTGCATAAATTTATCGGGTTTCTTCCTCTCTCTTCTGTCACTTGTAAGAGGTGCTGGAGGAGTCGCTATGCCGCGCCCACGCCGACGCATCCTTCTGAAACCATCCCTCCCCGCATTTTCATCCCCAATGTCGTTAACAATTTCCACATTGTCATTCAACTCAACCTCATTCTGCTCGAGTTGAATATTTGTTTCCTCAACCACCGGAATCCCATATGCTACAAAATCAATCACCAACGTCACACATGATCACATTGTTAAAATTTGGCAAAACAAAAACAACATTTTCTTAATTAAAAACGTAATTATATATTCATAATATAATATGCATCGCTGATTACTTATCATTATTCATAACTAAAACATAACATTATTAAATATTTTACCTCCACTAGTGCTATACACAATATTGGGTGATTGGTGATCACATGTCGTCTCGAAAGAGGGTGCTTCAGTATCACCTGCCGTCTCGGAAGTGGATGCTTCAATAGTTTGGAAGTTTTGTGCAAACTGCCTATCAATATCTTCCCATTGTCTCAGCTTTCTTTTAAAATGTTCTTTAAATTTGATGGGATGATTGCCTTTAAATTTGATGGGATGATTGCCTTTAAATTTGATGGGATGATTGCCTTTAAATTTGATGGGACGATAGTTCGGTATTGAATCTGATCATGCAGGTCGGGAGGCAGCATTTGGTCAGTATAGGGATGCCAGGTAATGGGGAATTCTTCTATATTCTGTGTAATAGACATCATTTGGATAGGGATGCCAAGTAATAGGGAATTTTTCTAAAAAATTAAAATCAAAACCTACCTAAGCTATAGAAATCATTTCTTACCTCAGGATCCATATCCAGGAAGTTACGTATCAACTGAAACTTTTGTCCTAAATTATGATGGACTTTTCCGTGACGGTTTTTGCCGAGTGTGAAAAGATCCTTTATCAAATATGCCAATAGTGGCATATTAGGCATACGATCTTCCTCCGCAGTAACAACAATAATATTAAGGATATTATGAAGTCCTTTAAAATGATAAAAGAAAAATCCCTATGAAAAAACAGTTGGTTAAAAAGTTATCAAACAAATATAAGAAAGAAAAAAAAATATAAGAAAAAATATGCACTTACCATTATCAGCCATACAAAGCTGTCAACTTTCTTATTACGTAAATGATTCTCCTTTAGACCTTGATATAGAAAAGCCAATAGTGCCGCTCCCCAAGCATAAGAATCCACTTCGTCCAATTTTTCAATAAATTGGACGTATGTGGTTTTGCAGTTTTGGCCATCCCCACTTGGAACGATCAGACAAGACACAATCATAAGGAGGACAACTTTTATCCTATCATCATCATTTTTACTTAAATCACAGCAAATATTTTTCAACACACTTAACTTAAGTTTATTAACGGCAGGTAAGGGAAAAACCCAGTTAAAAGCCATAGGGTCTTTATTGCTTTCAGATATAATTGCTCGGCCCGTAATGAGCAAGTTGGTCAAAAACAGAACGGTAAGGGAAAAACCCAGTTAAAAGCCATAGGGTCTTTATTGCTTTTAGATATAATTGCTCGGCCCGTAATGAGCAAGTTGGTCAAAAACAGAACGTCTTCCAATGAGACGTTCATGTTAATACCACAAACATGAAAACAATAGTAATTTTCTTGAAGTCCATAATAACTCATGAACATTTCAAACAATGATGTTGAAAATTCCGATGAGTTATCTTGGACAAGCTTTAAAACTCTTAATAATGTATAACCTTGACCCCTATTTTCTATTCTATTGTTAATTCTTGTTTTAAAAGGTTCATATAAATCTTTCCATAGTTTGCACAAAGTATTTAGTTTAGATGATCCTTTTGTTGACATTTCCTGCAAAAACAAAATCACTTGTATAAATAAGTAAACAAATCCGAATTTGTAAGGGGTATACAAGTTCAGATTTGTTTACTTATTTATACAAGTGATTTTGCTTTTGCAGGAAATGTCAACAAAAGGATCATCTAAACTAAATACTTTGTGCAAACTATGGAAAGATTTATATGAACATTTTAAAACAAGAATTAACAATAGAATAGAAAATAGGGGTCAAGGTTATACATTATTAAGAGTTTTAAAGCTTGTCCAAGATAACTCATCGGAATTTTCAACATCATTGTTTGAAATGTTCATGAGTTATTATGGACTTCAAGAAAATTACTATTGTTTTCATGTTTGTGGTATTAACATGAACGTCTCATTGGAAGACGTTCTGTTTTTGACCAACTTGCCCATTACGGGCCGAACAATTATATGTGAAAGCAATAAAGACCCTATGGCTTTTAACCGGGTTTTTTCCTTACCTGCTGTTAATAAACTTAAGTTAAGTGTGTTAAAAAATATTTGCTGTGATTTAAGTAAAATGATGATGATATGATAAAAGTTGTCCTCCTTATGATTGTGTCTTGTCTGATCGTTCCAAGTGGGGATGACCAAAACTGCAAAACCACATACCTCCAATTTATTGAAAAATTGGACGAAGTGGATTCTTATGCTTGGGGAGCAGCACTATTGGCCTTTCGATATCAAGGTCTAAAGGAGAATCATTTACGTAATAAGAAAGTTGACGGCTTTGTATGGTTGATAATGGTAAGTGCATATTTTTTCTTATATTTTTTTTTCTTTCTTATCTTTGTTTGATAACTTTTTAACCAACTGTTTTTTCATAGGGATTTTTCTTTTATTATTTTAAAGGACTTCATAATATCCTCAATATTATTGCTGTTACTGCAGAGGAAGATCGTATGCCTAATATGCCACTATTGACATATTTGATAAAGGATCTTTTCACACTCGGCAAAAACCGTCACGGAAAAGTCCATCATAATTTAGGACAAAAGTTTCAGTTGATACGTAACTTTCTGGATATGGATCATGAGGTAAGAAATGATTTCTATAGCTTATGTAGGTTTTGATTTTAATTTTTAGAAGAATTCCCTATTACTTGGCATCTCTATATTGACCAAATGCTGCCTATTACACAGAATATAGAAGAATTCCCCATTACCTGACATCCCTATACTCACCAATGCTGCCTCCCGACCTGCATGATCAGATTCAATACCGAACTATCGTCACCCCATTGTTTTGCTACAATTATGTGGAGCCTCATTATCCAAATGTTATAGCAAAAACATTTCGCGGAACTTGATGATATTGATATGAGAGTGATTATTTCAAAGGGAAATAAAGACAATCATCCCATCAAATTTAAAGAACATTTTAAAAGAGAGCTGAGACAATGAGAAGATATTGATAGGCAGTTTGCACAAAACTTCCAAACTATTGAAGCATCCACTTCCGAGACGGCAGGTGATACTGAAGCACCCTCTTTCGAGACGGCAGGTGATACTGAAGCACCCTCTTTCGAGACGACATGTGATCACCAATCACCCAATATTGTGTATAGCACTAGTGGAGGTAAAATATTTAATAATGTTATGTTTTAGTTATGAATAATGATAAGTAATCAGCGATGCATGTTATATTATGAATATATAATTACGTTTTTAATTAAGAAAATGTTGTTTTTGTTTTGCCAAATTTTAACAATGTGATCATGTGTGACGCTGGTGATTGATTTTGTAGCATATGGGATTCCGGTGGTTGAGGAAACAAATATTCAACTCGAGCAGAATGAGGTTGAGTTGAATGACAATGTGGAAATTGTTAACGACATTGGGGATGAAAATGCGGGGAGGGATGGTTTCAGAAAGGTGCGTCAACGTGTGCGCGGCATAGCGACTCCTCCAGCACCTCTTACAAGTGACAGAAGAGAGAGAGGAAGAAACCCGATAAATTTACGCACTCAACTGATCACGTGAAAGCTATACGCGCAAAAACGAAGAGAAATGTATGTTTAGTTTTCTTTTTATTTGCATGGTTTTATTTTTTTCGCACTCCATTATTGTTTATGTATTTTATCGTGTCTTCTATTTTCCTATTACTTTAGAGCATGATTCAAATATTATTCTCTATTCAAAAGAAGTGTGGGATTTCGTTTAGGAAGAGTAATACCATTCTTGGTCCTGGTTTGCATAGGATGCACATTTAGAGGGTTAATGAAAGGTTGATTAGGATGAGAAGTGATAGGGCTAGGTGTAGAAGTTCTAGTCTGTTAATAAAACTGTAGAGTATTGATTGTGTTTATTTCTTTGTTTCTGAATGCAGTGAGGAGCTGCTTTCCATAACTGGTATTGTTACTCCAAATGTTAAAGAGGCGGCAGCTTTACTTGGTGATGGGATAATGAAGTCAGTTTATGACATGCCTACTGCTACAAAATTGTTACATGACTTGCAACAGGTTTGTTGCTACTGTGGAAACATACTGAATGTTTGGATATGTTTAACTTTTGTTATAAATGCACAAACTAGCAAAACACTTCATATTTTTTTATTTCACGTGCTTTCAATGTTGGTGTTAATGCTGATGAATTCTTTTCTCTACACTTTTTGATGAACTTGTGGCTCGAGCCTGATATAAGAAATATAAGAATGAAGAACCACGCGAAATTACCATCTTTTAGACTTGACACATAAGGAAATTAAAACCATAGGGTTTTACTGTCCTTTAGATGACCTCACATCTTCCTAAGGAAATTAAAACCGTATGATTTTACTGTCCTTTAGATGACCTCACCTCTTCCTACCACAACGGGGGTAGATCAAGAAAGTATGATTTTCTTTGACACGAGAATATCATGTGTAGATGAAGAAATGAATAAACCCGTCAAAATTTGCATGCTTATATTTTATACATAAAAATTGCAAAAAAGCGAAAAAGTACACTCATACGATGATGTAGTTAACAAGAGTAATTAAAATATGAGAAAAAACCAAGAAATTGTTGAGTAATATGGGAAAAAACAAAGAAATTGTTTATTTATCCTATAGGACGTGTCTCTCACCGTTAGAAATAAAAAATATCGTTATAGATATTTGATTTAATTTTTCTCTTTTCTCTTCTCTATTCTTCTTTTCTTTCTCTTTTCTCTTTTCTTTCTCGTACTTCGGTTATCAATCTTTGAATATATGGATCATTGGATATCTCCTCCAACAGTTTCTGCCTTTCGGCCCACATAGGATACGAAATGATGCTGTTCGATTCATTTTGGTGTCATTTCTTCGGAATGCTCTCTCTGTGTTTTTTTTTCTTGATGATTTCTTTCTCTCTCTCAATGCGTGCGTGTTGGTTTCGTTTCTGTGCTTTTTCTTTTTTAATACAACGTTTTGGATTTTCCCGTGCTTTTGGATTCAAATGAACAGTTTAGATTGTTTGTGAGATGGATGGATCGACGGTCGTTTGTTTGCGTTGAAAGTAAGCGGAAAAAGACTCGAATTTCTAGAACTTCCCAAACAGATGGAGTGATTAGGAATAGTGAAGGGTTTAATAGAAAAAGACAAAAAAAGCGTATCAATTATGAAATAGTGTGATACAGAGTAGTTTATCTTAAATTATTTAATTTTAGTAATCTTATCTTAAATTATTTAATTTTAGTAATCTTAATGGTTATAAATATTGTGAGTACGTGATTTCGATAACTTTTCTACTATTAATTCAATTTTGTAATAAAGTGAGTTAAATAATTCCAATACATTTTATTAATTGACATTTAAATGATTTTTTTTCACTAGTACCGAGTCTACAAAATTTTACAAAATTATTTGGATGTATGTAAATAATATTAAAAATGGTAAAATGTTAAATTATTTAATTTTAGTAATCTTAATGGTTATAAATATTGTGAGTACGTGATTTCGATAACTTTTCTACTATCAATTCAATTTTGTAATAAAGTGAGCTAATTAATTCCAATACATTTTATTAATTGAAATTTAAATGATTTTTTTCACTAGTATCGAGTCTACAAAATTTTACAAAATTATTTGGATGTATGTAAATAGTATTAAAAATGGTAAAAGAATAATTTGTACGCGGGGAGGATCTATATATGGGTAATGTTAATTGTGTTTTTGAGACATGTTAAATAATCAACGAAAATAAATTTTGAAAGAAAAATAAAAAAAAAACCAAAAATGAAACGGTGCGTTTCATTTATAATTGAGATTCAATCTCAACCATTCAACATCAATGATCCAACGACCAGGACTTGTTGGTCAACAAGTCTTATCTTCTTCAACCTTGGGATTCCGGCTAGGGCTCCGCCGGCTGCTCCGGCAGCCACGACGGAGGATCAGAAAAGAAATATGGCGCGATGATTCCATCTGGATCGAAATTTTCTCCTGAACATGAATCTGGAACTTAAATCTCCAAAAAGTTCCTCCATAACTCAAACCGAGCCAAAACATTTTACATCTGAAAACACAATTCTCACATACAAGTAGTTTTAAACAAAACTGGACGTGTACATGTGCTCTACTACATCACACGACCTCAATGAACATCAAAGCATGCAATTAGAGCCATAAATGAGAGAGTTCTAAAGAGCTCAAACCTGAATTTGCAGAGGAAGTTGAATGAGAGAATACCAGAGGGGAGAATCCTTGCTCAAGCTTCTAACAACTTCTATTTGTCCAAATAAAGGAGTGTAGATGCTTAGAAGTGATTGAATTGAGGAGAATTGTGAAATCCGATTCCTACACCTCCATTGATGAGCAAACTCGAAGCTCTGTGTTCTTCACTATTCTACACTTGTTCAAGAGAGAAATGAGAGCTCTATGAAGTGTGTTTTGATTGGAGAAGAAGAGGGAAATTGAGAGCTTTGTGTGGTGGAGGTTTTCAGAAATGAAGCAAATGAATCAAAATTGTTAAACTCAAGCTAGAGGGAGATACTTATAGACACCTTAACTGGGGTTAATTGAGGATGGTT